CACTCTTGACATATTTCCCTTAGATTTGTGTGAATGTTATCTTCCTGCTTCGTTCCTAGTCTTTCCAGTGGCTGTTTCTCATGTTTCTCAAACAAAATTCTGTATATGATGTCTCCATACCTCAGTTACATGTACAGTCATGCTCACCACAGCATTTTAAACATCAATATCCTACCATACCCAATGATGTACACACAGTATTTGAATTATACTGAAATTTAAGTCATCTACAGAATATCTCTATTACGAACTTTGTTCTTTCAGGTTAGTAACTCTAGTACATCAATTAATTCTATTTGTCTGTTGGTTTATAATGTTGTGCCAATGACACAGGTTGCATAGCACTAAATGAGGAATGGAAGGTGTGCAATGCTCACAGCCCATTACCCCTACATTACCTTTAGGGACTGACAAAGTTTACAAAGCTATATTAGGTGGTGGTTCTTTTTCATCTCATTTGGGCCAAAGTAAAACAAAACCATTCATGACAATCTTTGTCAGTGAAAACACACGTTCACGATGAGATCTGAGGTTCTTGGTAGCAAACATCCAGACTACAATCTAGGATGTGGGGCTGTGTACATTGATAAATAGGTTGTTTCCTCTAAACACAAGAGGCAGCAGGTTCCTCTAACCTGCTGACTAAATCTCTCATATGAATATAATCCTGAAACTTTCTGGTGTCTGTGATCAGGATTTTTGTCTCCATATCAAAATTTCAACTGAGGGCCTCTTGTATACAAAGCAGATCTGTGATGACTGGTAGTAAAGAAAAGATTTTTAATTTGTTGATTGGTTCCATGGCTCTGCAATTCACGGTGACTGGGGTGCCACTAGCCGTGAAGCACATACAAATTTTGCCGATGAATCAGGATGCCTGACAACTGATAATGTTCAGAATGAAGTAGTTACATCAGACACCACCTTTCATTGGATGGAGTGAGACATTGTGAGTTAGATGTGGATTATGTGAACTCCAGTAGCAATCATTTTGCATATTTATGCATTCCTGCAAGTGAAACCACATTACATCAGAAAAGAATGTCAACTGCGGAATGATCTCACCTTCAAAAACAGATTATAGAAAACAACTGCAAAAATTAACCCTGCTAGCTGGATTGCGCATCTGCAAGGCTCACGTGGATTACCTATTTTATAGGGTCTAACTTTCAGCAACTGTGTTGCCATCCTTGCACTGGACTTTGACACTCCAGTCTCTTGAACCAGATGTTTAATTGATTTTCTGTTTAAGTCTGGCCCCTGTCATCTAACTTCTCATCAGTAAGCACTAGAGGCTTATGTTTTTGTTTCTTGTCTATTAAGAGATTCCACTGTTCCAAGTTTATTCACCAAATTCTGAATTGTCTGTCTGGTGGGAACTCTTTCTTCATGGAATTTGTATCACAATTTTTGCTGAAACTTTCTAGCAGATCCATACTTCACATAGGTGTCATACAGAAATACACGTTGCTCTAAAGTATATTGCACCATGACGTAACACACTGCTGAGAACAAATGGGTAATGGAGCTGATAACTGCTGACAAATCATAATCAAACTCCCACATATGAACTGCACTACTCACCATAAAACATGCCATCAAGCAGGCCATAAGTTAATTCCTTCCTTTCATTCCATCAGGCATACTGATTTAACAGCAACATTCATTTGCACCTCACAGCTGGTGGTGCACCAGTCACTGTGAAGTGCAGAACCGCAAACCAGCCCCCCAAAAAATCTGTATTTTGTATGAAGGGAATGCATGAATATGGAATGATTTCCACTAGCTTCACCAGTACACTGACTATGCTAGAGGCTGGATACTTTGAAACAGGGTTTGATTCTTGTCTGGAGCAAATTGTTTTCTTTACATTGTCTAGTCCAGCTGTGGGGCCTATCCAGACTGCGCTCTCATTGGTAGTGGGTGCTTTAATTAAGCACACAGACAACTTCACCTTACAAATGAATCACTAACCCATAAGTGATCCAGACATCACTCGAATAAACAAATGGGAACTAACCCTGTAATAAATGACACTTTATGCTTACATCTGCAAACTTTACTACTGCTCAGGATTTTCAAAAGTAGGATTGTTTTAATTTTTAAAATTACACGTAATTTCACTGACTGTGAACATACAAAAATATGACAAAACTCATGAAATGTGGACACAATACATATAATAAAAACTTGCATAAACAAAATCACATGCACAACATACAACAAATACTTATTACAAGGAACAAAGACAGTACCTCTTTCTTAACCATAAACCCATCATTTAAAAACCTTGTGGCTGAACAGAAGTTATGTTCAACTTTACAGTACAATACGTAGGCTTAAGCTGCAGGGCAACCTTCTACAACTGATGCCAAATATCAGCTATCTCTTTCATAATTTCTCAATTACAATCTGATTTTCTACAAAAGCATGGTCAAACTGTTTTGCAATTTCTTATCCAAGCATGGTTCATGGGTCACGCAGAATTTAATTTATGCACCTGCATTGTTCAGGTCCTGCACACCTTTCCAACTTCACTGTGTCTGACCAAGGTCAGCATCAGAAGAGTGAGAGATCTGCAAAAAATAATTATCTAGACCACATACTTCTTTAGTACTGCTTGCAGAATAGACATATCATATAGATGCAAGATTTGAGGTTTTCATGGTGGTGACTATGAAGAATGCCATCTTCTGGGATGTGGTGCCATATATACTGTGTGAACCTACGTATTGGAGGAACATAACGCCACCATCTTCAGGGTGACTGCAGCCATCTGCTCATGCTGGTTCCTTGCTTGTGGATTCTTCTACCCTGAAGGTGGAGATGATACGTCCCTCTGAAACATTGACTCACAAAGATCTACACGGTGCCACATCCCAGAAGACTGCATTCTCCTCTGAAACAAATGCCTAGAGGTTATGTGATTCTGTTCACTCACTGAGTAAGAGGTAGTGTTTTGAGAGCTATCATCCTCAGGAACGTTAAAAGCATTTCTGATAAAGAATGCAAAACTGTGACCATATAAAAACTTCTGACATTCTTTCATACATTAAAAGATTAAATTCATGATAAAACTCACCGAGTACAATAATGAAACAAATACCCTTCAATGTGAGTATACAGAGAAGGCTTCCATAAAAATCACTAGCTACAACTTAGTAAATGATGGATTCTAAGGTTGTAATATGCATGGTAGGTGCAGCCAGAAATAGCCATGTCCTTTGAAATACAACTAGTCGGACAGTAACCATTTTCAACTATCGTACAGAAACCACCACACTGCATTTGAACAATCACTATTAATGCATCAACATTTATAAGCCACATTATTTCTTATCCAGAAATAAATTATATCTGGCCTTTTGCTCCTTATGTAATGACTTAAAACACTTCCCTTCCAGTGAACTGAGGGGATAAAGCAAGTGCTGCCACAATCTGCAGCAAGCCCTCCACAGATGTTGCTCTCTACTGCAAGTATAATGAAATTCCCATTTATGGTTTTTCCAAAGAACAATGGAAGAACATTAAAATGAGAAAAACCTCAAATTGAGGAAATTAAGATTTAGATTGATTTGGAATCACTGATATGAAGAACTTTACATCAAGAACTCTGGCCATGTGTAGCACATATCTTTAATATTTACTGTCAGTAAAAAATACGCTTCATTTGCACATCTCTATCAAGCTGCACACCTGAGTCATTTCAGTACCAAAAATATCCATTCTACCATGGACACATAAAAAAGGAGATATTTTTGATACATATAATTCAGCATGGACATGGCTCCACTATGGTGGTTCATATACACATAATGCTGTTAACAGAAAATGTGGAACGTCTTCAAGCTTTTCTTCTCTCACGTGTGCATAAAATATTTTTGGATTTTTATATACAACCTGTCAGTTCTTATCCAGAGTAGATACTAGGCATGTAAGTAAGAGAATTAATGAACAGTGCAAGACCACAAAACTGGGGCCGGGGCCAGTGCCAGTAACCCCTTTTTTATGGTTTGGCTGGAACCACTGTAAATTTAAGTCAAAACAAATCAACTTACATCACATCACATTCAATTACCTTGTGTGCCAGCCTTATGTACGATAAAAAGTAAAGCTATCCCTGTTAACAGGCCGTGGAGGCCCATAGGGTTGTGAGACGTTAAGCGTCCCACATTATCTAGACAATCGGCTCAAAGATGACGGTAAGGTTGTCAGCCTTACGCACTTTACTCCCCAGGAAAATTATTTAATTAATTCCTGGTACTCATTTCTGTTAGAGGCTGAGTCGACCCCAGGGCCATAGTGCGGCTGGAAGGATTAGGTCCCATGACCTCATCGGGACTTGAACCCGTGACCTTCCGGCTTGTAGCATAGCCCCTCAACCAACTACGCTACCATGTGCCCCCTTATGTACGATAAACACAGATGAACTTTCAAACAAGAAATATACATGGAAACATTTTCTGGCAATAGTAATTGGAACTCGAATTAACCACTTTCTGTGCATAATGCTATGGACTATAGGGACATTAAACATTTCTTGTTGCCCTTAATATATTAACAGTATGAAATACATATACTCACAGACACACTGCACACGTGTATAAAGATCATTTAATTAAATGGTATGATGCATCAAGATTTAAATGCGAAGGTAAATTTAACCAAACATTCAAGCACATGTAAATGAACAGTATAAAAGTTATCAGCACACTAGGATATGGTCATCACCACTATTAAATTCTCCATGAGAAATATTATTTACTCGGAGGTAACAAAAAGCAATTATAATTAACTGTAATACTGGAAACCATTTTAATATCACAAATCTTTCTCACACGATAGAACATCCTCCAGACAAATATCATCTTCCTATCTAATATTTTGTATGTGTAATGACTTCATCTCCTGTTCTCACACACTATGCTACACTGTTAAAATCTGAATTGTACAGTTTCCAAGTTGACATTCCACTGTTCTTAAAATTCCAATTCTTTTTCCATATGAACTACATACATGCACCTTTAATTACTGAAGGGCAGTAGTGAATGTACGACAATTCTTAAATTGATCACCATCTTGGAATGAACATCTTCATAATATGTAGTAGAGCATACATTAAGCTTACATAGATTCAGACAACTCTGTTTCCTTTGCACAACACATTCGGCTTCATAACACCTTGTCACTCACCGACAGAAACATACATATGTCTCTCATACATACCATAATAACACAACACAGTCCTGACAGATCTTACTGTGGAAGCGTGTGATCTATCACTGTGCAAATCTATCTTTTGGAAAATGATTACATGGATAGGAGGAAAACTGCACAATGGTGAATATAATTTAGTAAGACAGCACTTTCTCCACTAGAGAACAGCATCTTGAGTTCAAGTTATTTTAAAACCGAATGAAAAAAAAAATCATAAAGTGTTTCTACACATTACACAAGTACAACATGTGTCGAACAGGCCTCAAATAGAAAACTGAATAGCCCAAATCAGTGATGTTCATATTTTCACTAGCAAATCAAAGAAGGAGAACTCATCATTTTGCTAAAATGGACTGCACTACTTTCAAATGGGTCTTGGAATATAAAGGGTTAATAATTTGGATTGATGAAATCCAAAATATTTAACTCTTCAAGCATGACCTACCCCCAACAAGCCACTACTTCCACATGATCATGTCTCTCACACTGCTCTTTCTCAAGTGTGTGGTTCCAGTCACTCCTGACATTGTGCATGCTCTGGAAGGCATAGTATGGCTGACAATCCATGGTGTTGCACATGCCTGAGGGGTTAATCCAGTAAACATTTTGCAAGTCACACTCAGTTTTGATAATCGGGGCCTTCAAGACAAAAACATGATTTACAACCTTTTATCACTGCTACTTTATTCTTTACCTGTCCCAAGGAACAGCACACTGACTAGCATGTTCTGTCTTTGTATCAGCATATGCGCATTATTCATTCTCAACAGAACAGCAGGAATGACAGATGCAGTACACATCCAAATATTTACTTTCAAACTGATATATCAAACTACTTCAGATCTTTGTTTTAAATATTAGCTGCCACTATATAAAGTGTATGAGTATTCTTTTCTCACTGCAAAAAATACATTCCTACAGGCTAAATCACACGCATAATAAACTCACCTAGTACAAAAGACTGAACCAGAAAGATGAACTCCAATTATGAACATATTCTAGTTCTCAATGATAAAAAAAGAAGTATCTCACCAGACTACAATTCTGAGACAAAAGAATAATAAATGCGAACAGAAATACTTGAGCATTTAGCATGTAACTGCAAAATGTGGCGCCCGACTTTCGAGAATTGTGCGGAAATCCCTTCTAATCCTCCACAACATCAGCTCAATACATGCACGTGCATCCTCAAAGCTATCATGTCCAGATGAATCCTGCTGGATTTTCCTCTTCAAGAAACAACCAACCAATGACTTAAGCGAACGGCGATATGGAAGCCCATAATAATGAGGAAATATCACAGATGTGTCAATCACAGTGCCATGGATAATACGCAAGGCACGGAGGTCATTCTCCAGTCCATGACCCACAAGGATAGTGTCAGCATTTATGAAACCCATTAAATCATTCTGAACATCCCGTAAGGATTTTGTGGCATGTTTACTGAGATCACGTGCAGTGATGCCTGAGAACCTTGTGTTATAATCTATAATAAAGTTTTCTGGCCTCACCAAGCTGTCGTACACTAGACGCCCATCTGTGGCCACCACAGTCACTTTTATTAGCTCAAGACCATGAGTTGTGAAACACATTTCACAGTCTATTGCATATACCCCAAAATTCCCATCAGGGGGCGGAGTCTTACGAAGATGGGTTCGAACATAGCCGTCAAAGGGACCATTGAACCCAGGACCAACGCCATTCCACACGTGTAGTTTTCCACTGGTACATCCACGTGTATTCGGTTTGCCTCTACAGCAACTATATTCAGTACAAACTGTCATGGCACCCATCTCATAGGCCCCTGGCCCTAATACATTCTGTAACTTACCCCAATGATACAGGCACTGTTCTTGAGTTAAATATTCCCCATCCATTGTCACAAAGAAACCACGACCACAACGGACGCACTTCTTTTCATCACTACTACTCAACTGTTCTTGGAACTTGCTCTTCAGTGGACTCTTTGATGCTTGTTTCTCCCCTACATCCTCAGTCTTCTGCAATATCACACTTAAATCCTCCCCACGGCAATTCAAATGTCCAAGTGAATCAGTGGACTTTCTCTCAGTACCTTTACACAACTGTTCTTCACAGTTGTTCTTATTATCATCGCTGCGAAATGCGGTGATAACTATGTTATTGTTCTCATGGTCTTCACGCTTCACATCTTTGTCAACGTTCCATTCAATAGCAACTGAGGCATAATCGAATCCTGCAGGACCTCTGTCTATCATATTTGATATATACATGGCACTGTTCACTCCTTGGGACTCCCTTGACAAACTTCCATCACTGTAATAACATGCTGTTCCTTTAGACTGCTTGGCACTCATAGGCACAAACTCCTGAGCATTGACATCAAAGTGGGAGGAAGTTGTAAGTGGATGTGAGTATACAAGGGCATATGGATTAGGACCAGTGTTGGCAGCAGGGCTTTTGAAAATAATTGCTTGCCCAGGATATAAGGAACTCTCTACAGGATAGCCTAGAGCTAGAAGCTGGTCAGGACTGAGGATATAATGACGAAGGAACACTGAAAGGTCACTGTCGTTTAAGTTCAGCTTGGCATGCTGGCGTAGCGCAGGGGTATTGGTGATGTGGCGCTGGTTACTGTTCCCATCTCCAGAACTGGCTGACCGTCTAGCCCTGGCTTTGTTCTTCTTCATGTTGACTGCTGAGACTCCATTTTGATTTGCCACTGGGGAACCATCATCTCGACGAACACGATTCTTCTTCTGACGACGGCTCAGATGAACTCCTTTGCCATTCTCTTGAGGGCTGTTCTCTTTGCTGCCTTCACTCCCACTGTACTGCTCACTGCTACCCCCACCTCCACCTGGATCCAGTTCCTCCGAGTCTTCAATGGTGTGAAAACAAAACCATGAGACAAGGGAACCAACAATCACCAAATAAGTCTTACTCACTGGTACTGGCCACCGGTGCCATCCCTCCTTGCACTACACCAACATGCTTTCATTCATGCAAAAATCTTTCAGCTTTCAAGCCAGAAGTTTCACAGTGAACATATAATCTTACAAACAGAAATTATTACTCCCTGCACCTAAGGTTAACAGAACTCATTCATTTATGGTTTAGCCACAAACTATCTAACAACCCCAATATTACTGATAGTGATAACTACTGTACACAATGGCCACCAAGATCACTCTGTGTAAATCTGGAAATGTTAACTATATACTGACATAAGGTAACAGTAAGAGAAACAAGAAGTCACACATGAGGCATTAAACTCTGAAAAGAAATAGTAATACTGTAAATGATGTACACGGCAAACTACAGGTACAATAAAATGACAAGGTCATATTACAAAATTATGAAGTTGCTGGCCAGGAAAGAAAATGGCTTTGGCAACATCAGTGAAATGCAAACAACTCTATATCAGTGCATGTGTGATAAGGAATTGTTTAAAAAGCAAACATATGACACTGCTAATATGTAATAAAGTAAATGTACCACCAGAAATACACGAGAATGTAACAATCTTCGGGAAATTCACTAACTTTCTGAGTATGCGTAACTAATCTGGTGATGGGGCTTACTTTTATCCCTGCTTAGAAATTGCTGATGTTAAACTCATACTGCAGACTTCAGAGAAAAGAGAAAAACACAAATTCATGTGCATCAAAAGCCAAAAGGATGTTATTATAACTGTAAATAATGTTTAATTCTTATGATATTAAAGAAACTATGTGAACATATTTATTTTGAGCAAAATACTAAGATGACTGTAATACTTTTGCATGTATGTCTACCAAATTCTATGAGAAATCCACTTATTGAAATTCTCTTCTCACAGCTGAATGATTAAATTCAAGGGATGCTTGCTACCATTCAGTTCAGAACATTCTGCCTTCATGGCTGACATCTAAAAATGTAGAGATTAATCTGCAGAAGTTATAATTTTGCCTTCTGATACATATGGGTATAAAAGCTGGTCTCTTGTATTAAGAGCAGAATAAAGATAAGATGGGCACACAGCATTCATGTAAGGGAAGAGAAACATATACAAAGGTTTGCCTGGAAAGCCTGAAGGAAAGAGACCACTTGGAAGACCTCGATTCATTAGCTCAGAATAGTGGCCAGGTGGTGGGCTCCCATGAACACGAACCTTTGGATTCTATAGAGAGAAAGGAATTTCTTGACCACCTGTGAACAACTATTAGCTTCTGAAGATCAACTCTGCTCCATGGAGTTAATTAGAAGCAAAGGAACACTATTATAGCACTTTTTTTTTTTTGTGTAGACATGGAATTTACTCATCTTCAGTTCAGCATGAAAGCTCTGCACTGTGTTCAATATCCATCACATGTATGTCTACAATACTGGATAAATTTATGATGGCAGAATGCATTAACTTTTTACAGTTTAAAGGGACACTTTGTACAAATAATTCTGTTGTGTGTTAAAACCAGCACCTATGTGAATAAAATCTTGCAGCTGTTTCAGAAAAAGGTGCTGAAATTACTAACTGAATGTAACATTTTGTTATGAAAGCTGTCTAGAAGATATCATAGATCAACAACAGAGATGAAGGTCATCTGTTCTATTCCAGCAACAAGATCTGAATCATTTCTGTCTGGCATTCTTGGTACCATCTACCTGCTGGTTTACATTGATACAGCTGCTTCAGATTAGCATATTTTCTATGGATTTCAGCATTACTCACTATAGGTCATGAAGCTAGGCTACAACTAATACTGCATTATTTCTATCAGTAAGTGTAAGAAAGTCATTTGCAAATTATTTGATTAAGTTCCTGTTACCATTAATTTTATATAGTAAGACATTATCAAAATGTCACAAAACATTAAAAGCCTGCAGTGTGTTACACAAAATGAACTGCTAATCTGACACTGGAAAATTCAACATGATTACAAATTTACAGGCATTTAGCAGGAACATGTAAGCTTGCATAACACATGATCACAGATTTTATATACTGGAAAATTTCCATGCTATTAAAAAGTTTTTTTATCCCGATCTCCTGCATCACATCTTTCACTTTTCAGCAATAACACGAGTTGAAATAATTTTCATAAAACATGAAATCAGATTAATGTGTATCTGTCTAGCATTTTTAGAATATAACCTGAGCTAGTGGTTCTCATTTGAATAAACATTTCTACCAATGATTTTATCTGAGACTAAATCTGTACTGGAACAAGAAATTTCACTTGAAAAGGAGAATGCACTGTGCAGTTAGTAAGTGACACCAGAAACGTGCAAGTAGAGAGAGTTAACCATAATATAAATGAAATTAAGGTACCAGTTCTTCCTTCACAAGATTCCCTGAAAATTCATTAGTGTCCTGCAGTAACTTAGAGACTACATTAAAAGCACATTCAGACAGGAAAATAAATAATGTAAGATAAAGTAGTAAAGAAGATTTTTCAGGTATACTGCCAAAGAAGGATCTGCACTTACTGTTTTCCCAGAAGAATTTTTAATATTTTTAAATGTCCACTAAAATTCAAAATTTTTACAAATTCTTTGCATAGAGTGCACAAAATAAATGGATAATGAAGAGTTCATGTTTTTGTTTCACCTCAAAATCTATGGCAACAGATTCTGATGAACTTGTATGTTACACAAATTCACTTGTAGTGTACAGTAGCCATTTTTAACCCCTACTTTACATGCAGCTTAAAACGATATTCACATTAAATTCCTTAAAATGGCACATCAAACAAAAATGAACACAGTAAAAATATAGATATCACATACGCTGACAAGTTTTATTTAAAATATTTTCTGACATGGTGAACATTCACATAAAAATAACATCTGACTGTGCAATGCAGAATTGGTTGTGTGACTGATTCTGCAAAAATAAATTTCATCTGCAAGAGATGAACATCAAGGTGAATGAGATGCAAAGCGAAGAAAATATGCACTCCACTGAAATGCACCTTCTTACGCCTGCCACTGTCCAAACAGAGGTATGCTATCAAATATGAAAATGTCAAATTACAGTTACAAATTCATTCAAGTCTGCAGAATCCTTCCAAATGTTGACTGCATGTACCAACTAAAAAGAGAGGCACCATTTCTTTATATAAAAAAAACACTACTTCTGAAGCTATACTATACAAGTGTCACATGCCAGTGTTCCATCAGGAGTACAGTTTCCTTTGCTCTCAATGTAGATAACTACGAGAACTTCAATTTAAGCCAGACAGCACCAACTGCATTGTGGTACGAGACTACAATTCTTCCAAATCATACACCAGAAAGGAACAACATATCAATGCATACAAAGGTAAAGGTGACCAAGCACTGCACCATACCGGCACAGCAGTAGGCTTGTCAACAGACAGAAATGAGTGGTTGGTGTCATATTATAAGTACTGTAAAAACTTGGGAAATTGCCCCTAGTATTCAATGGCTAGAACACAAGTTGGACTTTGCAGTTGGTTTGAACATGATGGCATGGTGAGAATTTATAGCTTTACATGCATTCTGACACCAAAATTCTTGTTTCTCACGTATTTAAAATCTGTATCTCTGAGAAGTGGTTGATGTGTGCAAAACCAATTAAATTTATGGAGGAAGAGGGCAAATGTAACTTATGGTGGAAAATGGAACAATATTTATTTTGAATAACAAATATATACTGGCAGCAACATTAATTCATACCAAGCACCTAAGGAACAACTGAGGAAATGATGGGTTAGCACTTCCAACCTTTTCTGCTTAGTAAAACAAGCAGGGGACATTGACTTGGGGGGAGGGGGGGGGTAGAAGTGGCACTGATAATTTCATATGCTGCAACAATTTTCTAGAGCTCCATGTGGGAGCTCCTGCTGACAATGGCAAAAGAATGGCTGAGCGATGACACTGACATCTGCCATGTGGAAACAGTTTCTATTAAATCTCCAAACGGATGACTCTGTCAACAAGTAAGCTGTTGGTACAAGGGAAGTTAGAAAAACTTAATCCGTTATGGCACAGTGATTACTATATGTACCACATGCTTTATGAAATCCTGCATTTTTCCCTAACAATATATCTGAGCATTTCATATGATTCAACCCCTCCCCCCCCAAAAAACAAAGTTATTTCCTTAAACTGAATTATCCGGTTGACATTTCTAATCAAAACACTGTGCATGTCCTGTACAGCAGGAACTACATTTTTAACTGTTGTTTAGATGTACTTTGTGCTTCAATGTTATAGCCCATGTATTATGCTTTTGATGCCACTAAAATAACAACACATTTCTTGGGGAAATTTCATGAAAATTCTGTATTATTTTGCTGCCAGACTGCTGGTTAGTATGTACCCAGAAGATCCTAAGATTGGCCCTCTTGACAACACTTTTCATGGTTTTCATCTTCAAGTAAATATTAAGATGGTCGCACATTTCAAGTTGCTACCGTAAGCTTCTCATGCAGCCCTCTGGATTTATAGCCATGCAGATTAAACTCCTTGCTCTGGAAACCCTCAACTTACCTTTCTAAACTATGCAACTAGCAATCATAAAATCATAATTTCACAGTGTCTGTCTACAATGGTTCACCTAACTTACTACCTAATGGGTATTAACAAATTCTTTCCTTGAACACTCAGGCTAGTAAGCATTGCTTAAATTATATGCAAGAAGTAAGATTTGAAAGTTTTCACGGCAGTGACTATGAAGAATGTCGTCTTCGGGGATGTGGTGTCATGTATATCTTGTGTGAACCAACATTTCGGAGGAATGTCTCAGTATGACTGTTTGCAGCCACCTGCTCACAATGATTCCTCACTCACAGATTCTTCAACCCTGAAGATGGAGGTGATACGTCCCTCCGAAACGTCAGTTCACACAACATCTACACATAGCCACATTCCAGAAGACGGCATTCTTTATATGCAACAAACTTAAATACCAAGCCATCTGCTTGGTATGTCCCTCCGATTTTACTTCTTCAATTCTGTGCTTCAAAGGGTAAATTTATTCTATGGCGTCATGATACAAAGGAGATTTTGCTGGGTGAAAACACAGGAACCACAGAGTCTGTCTGTGTCTGCAACCTATCTTTAGTCCAGAAGGAACAGAGGAAGCCTTCTTCCAGCAACATTATGCAACATGACTTTATGGCTTTGTTGTTTTGGTCATAAATACCTGGGAGAGTGATAAACCTGCATTAAATGGAAAACTGTCCAAGCAAAAATCACCAGTTCCTTTGGATTTTCATTGCTAGCAAATTTTACCAAATATTTACCGACCTTCATGTTATAAAGTTAACTAAGCCCTTAAATAATAAAATCCAGACTGTTACTTAGGCAATCATAGGAAATGATTTCAAAATAAAAAACTGTCACAAAATTTGGCACAACATTACAGAATGTGTTTAAATGCTGGAGAGACAACTGAGGACAGGCATGATCACCATGTGGTGAAGTGGCAGTAAATAACAGAACACTCAACACTAGTCAATGGGAATACATTCTTTATCACCATTATAATAAATGAACAGATTGATTATTTGAATACAATTAACAAGTACTTTGTTACTTCTCTTCATATATAAAATGTATTCACATGAAGATGGGCTATGCTGGAACTGGTCTGCACAGGCCTGGCCAAACTCTTTAAACATTCAAGAGAGATGGAAAAAAGTGTCCCAGCCATCAGACATTACAAAGCACTCACTCCCTCTGACACAAAACAAAACAAAGAAAATATGTGCCCCTTCTCCATTTTGCAATTAGGCTAATAAGAGAACTGGAAACTAACAACTGAACCCTTTAACTTGCATGAAATTTGTGAACCCCTGAATGATAGGGCTGGGGGAGAGCTTTATGGAAACAGCAGTGAACAGTATATATATATATATATAGCAGAGAAATGTATCTCAAATTCAATAATAATCTACAATACAACACATGTATATGAAAAATAATAATAATACATGGCATATTAATATAATTACTGTTTCTAGACATTATTCAGTGTCCTGCGTTTATTTAAAATACAATGTTTCAGAGAAAGGATTCTGTCTCTGTCTTCACGTGGAACCTACTCAGTTGCACCCAACTGTCTAGAGACAGGGACTAGCTCTATCGACTGGGCCCAACTGAGTAGGTTCCATCTGACGATGGAGTCAGAATCCAGTCTGCGAAACGTTGTTTTAAATAAAAACAGGGCGATGGATAACATCCAGAAACACAATAACTGTGATAATAACAATACACCCCACAAACTATCCTTCAAAATGAAGAAAGTCGTCTTCTGGGTTTAGGCGCCGTGTATTCTTCGTTTTGGCCGACGTTCCTCCGAANCCGAAACGTCGGCCAAAACGAAGAATACACGGCACCTAAACCCAGAAGACTTTCTTCAGTCATCGCCGTGAAAACCTCAAAAATTACAAATCCTTCAAAATGTTTCCAAAGTTATGGTTATTTATATTTTTGGAGCTCTACACTATTTTATGTGATAAATCCTTACCTTCTGCACAAGTTGCTAGGAATTTTCCATTACTGCTGAAATCCATATCTAGCACCTCCCCGCTATGACCCTTGAGAGAAGTCAGTAGCCATGGATGTGAAAAGCTCTGCTTAGAATCTCGAACCCACTTCTCTGAATGTTTCTTCTTGCTGGATTTCAGGCCAGAACTCGAAACATCTCTCTGCTTCTCCTTCTTTGGCACTTCAGGTTCTGCACCTAGAACAAAACATTTCTTCAGCACTAGAACAAAAGTGTCTTCACTGCCACCATACACTATTAAATCCACACTACATTACTCTACGAACACAAGTTGTTGTACCCTCCACATCTGAAGTAAATCAAGGTACAAACTCTGACACCCATAAAGGGCAGAAAATATACCAACAGGATAACATTTACTAGAGCAACCCATATTGTGTTTCACTTTCGTGAAAAAGCTCATCCCAGCTCCTCAACCTAAGAAGTCCTATAAGTCACATCTTAAGTTTTCTGGACAGACTGCTTGACTGTCCTACAATATAAAAAGCACAATATTCACATGTATTAAATGTGAGGTATGCTCATAATGTTCCTTACATTTTAAGAATGTGGTGCCAAACTTTCTGTATCAACAGTTTGAGATACGGCTTGAACTCATCACATTCCCTATTAATCTTATTTTTAAAGGGTTCTACCTTCTGGTATATGATGCCGTGAGTCCAGTGAATCAAGGGACTACAGTGTTACATCCCAAAAGACAGACCTCTTCAGTTGGTGCTGTGAGAACCTTAAATCGAACTCATTTTCTAAACATCAAAATAACAATCTTACAACCAACGGTGATAAAACGTATAAATCTCGGTTTTAACAACAACAAATATTCACCTTCCGACAAAAAGCCAACTCGTACGTGCTACCCATTACTACAAATAAATCATGTTTCTGATTCAGACTGGGCACTGTAATATATAGCTCACAGTTTGCTCCTTTTTATCATTCATTCATAATCCCCATACAAGCTTCCTTATTCGGTAGAATTTAATAATAATAATGATACTTTAAACTTCGTAAAAATTTGTAATTAGGAACGATATGCATTGTTATGGTCGCGTCTGAAACACGTGGTCAGGCTCTCAACCCATGAACATAAATTATATACTGGTCATTAAGAGCATGGCATACTTCACCGTAATATTCTGTATAACATGGCGAAAGTATGCCCTGTATACATTTCTCACAGTAAAGGAAGTTAAAACGAAAATCAACTCAGACGCTCCCCAGTGCATGTCGCTATTATGGAGATTTAAAAAGCAATCGATGCTTCTGACGCAATATATCCGCAATGGCGAGTTCCTTACTTTTTGAATCTTCTCCTTTTGAAGACTTTAACAAATTCGATATGTACACTAAAACCAACACTGTAGCTCCAACTATTAATGTAACAACAACAACTGGATAATCGGCAACTCCTGCACCGGTATCCGCCATAGTTCCCTGCCCCTTGCAAAACTAACTGACAAAGACACAGGGACCGACTGCTCTTCTATGCAACACAAACACTGCGATTGCTGAGAAGAATGGCGGGAACGAGGTCGGCAGGCAGGTTGACTAGCGGGAGTACGCTCGATGCATGCCGGGCTTCACCCCAGTACCGCTATGAGCCGCTGCTTGGAGCTTCCACGTTGTTCGCATCCTCGTGGAGTCACGACAGACATTTACAATGTGCAGCGCTCTTCGCACTCTCACTGGCCGCGTGTCCTTTACTCGGCAGAACATTGAACGTGCTACCGACCACACTACTACCTCGCTGCCAACTTTGCACGGACTGACTCGTAGAGACTGCTTTCGCGCGTCATTTTCCCGTGCCCTTGCGCGTGACGTAAACGAGTACACCTCGTGCTAAGATGCGTCATAGAACACGTCATTATTCCTGTTCAGAGAGTCCTTGGAAACGTACTACTCATGCGTTTTACACTAGAACCCCATGTTATAAATGCAAACAAATAATAATTATAAGAATTATGAATTAAAAATTAAGAACTTGAATTTCGCATGAAATCCTCTTCCAAATTAAGTAACCTTTACAACCAATATCAACACAGTACTTCGCGTGTTGCTATGGCTCTTAGCAATATGCAAACACATTACAGGAGGGTAATGTTCAGAGACCTAACAATGCTGAAATTCATATTTAGATAAAACCAGTCCAAGTTCAAAGCACCGAGCTAGATGGAAGAAGGGGGGGGGGAGAATTAGGGCGTTGCACCGATATAACGGTGCTGTTATACACTCTTCTTTCTATCACATACGAATCGAGTTCCTTGTTTCATTGTTATCAAGCGAACTGCGCTTATCGTGGGCATTACACTGTATTCAGCCATCCACACAAAGAAAACTAAAATTCAGGAAGGCCTAGGTTGTTGTTGACACTTCATTTTTAAAGCAACAGAACTCAGCCCGGATAACGCATTTGTATGCAACATTTAATACAGAAGATGCCAATGCCCGCAGCATGAATATATTCTGTTTCTCACAGTGCATTTCAAAAATATTAAAATAATATTAGGGCTAATATTTTTCACAATTTTAGGAACAGTCTTAATAACCCAGTTACTTTCTCTTTAATTCTTTAATTTTAGTATTAATTATTTTCAACTTGTTATATTGTCCCATTTCAGTGATTAGATGCAGGGTTTTGATCTACTACTGATTTTGCTGGGTACTTATTACTCGTAACTACAAATAGTTGCAGCAGTTTAAGGTCTTTCATTCTGGTCCGTCACACTAACCAATTAACAATCAAGTTCCTTCCGTCAAATGTGACACTTTTTTAAGTTTTCCACCTCGTCAGCACCTGCCTTACATGTTTCGGCTCACCACGGAGCCATCATCAGAGGCATTTATAGTAGAAAAAGAAATCACCAACACACAAAACTTCACTTTGTCCAAGATAGCCACGTTCCAGTTAATTAAAATAATTACAAATAGTTAAAATNNNNCAACAACATCCCGAAGCAAAAAGATTGGGCCAAGCGGGAAAGAATTCTAGGGATTTTAAGAATTCTTACTTCAAATAACGAAACATAATTTTACAGAATTAACGACGAATCAAATAAGGAAGCTACTGTGGTGTGTGAAAAACTTTTAGTGAACCGACATTCTGGGTAATTTTAACTATTTGTAATTATTTTAATTAACTGGAACGTGGCTATCTTGGACAAAGTGAAGTTTTGTGTGTTGGTGATTTCTTTTTCTACTATAAATGCCTCTGATGATGGCTCCGTGGTGAGCCGAAACATGTAAGGCAGGTGCTGACGAGGTGGAAAACTTAAAAAAGTGTCACATTTGACGGAAGGAACTTGATTGTTAGTTGCAGCAGGTTCACTGTTCTACACTCTACAACAATGTTCCCGAAAGCCGGGCGGCGGCCCGGTACCGGGCCCCCGTTTTATAGAATAAATAATTTACTGGGCTGCGGTCTGACAAAGATTGAGAACCACTGCTCTACAAATAGCTGCAGCACATACCAAGTTTTCCCAGTCTGCTATCTTTACTTACTCGTTGCTACGTAGTGGATTATAACAAGAGGAATTCTCTCCGCTGCTTTCACGATCGTCTCCTGTCCTCAACGGCTGACGACTGACGGCAATGAGCAAGAGTAGCAATTTTTTTGATGCTAGCCTTCGCCAACACGGTCATTCTTGGTTTCGGACCCCGTCGGGACCCATGACCAAATTTTAGATAATTCCAAGTTAATTTATGTGAGTAGGGGACAGCCCAGCAGACATAGCGGCGAGCTTCGGGCTATACAACCGAGGCTCGAGTCCCGGTAGGGGCAAGATTTTTTCTTTTCCCCATTGCGGTCAGACCGGCTCTGGGGTCTACCCAGCTTCCTATCCAATGGGTGTCTGGGGCTGTTTCCCTGGGGAAAAGCGGCAGGGTCGTGAGGCTGAAACTCACCTCATCCAGTGCCGAAGTCAAGAATGGTGGAGCCGTGCCTTCACTCCCCCATGTCTTCATGGCGAGGTGCCTAATTGAGCACAGGGAAAACTTTAGGTCACTTTAGATCATTTACGCATTTTTCAAGTGGGGCACCCTCTTGGGCGAAAGGAGGGAGCTGAATACTCCTGTCGACTGACGGCAGTGGCTTGATCTGGTAAATTACTGCTCGTCCCTTGCCAGCAGAGTCATTTTTGGTTCCGGGCCTCGCGGGACCCATAACCGTATTTTTCCGTATCACGACTGTCCCTTTGATCCTTCCTATATAACTTCTGGGAGAACAGAAAATACCGCCTCCAACAATTCCTCTATTGTTGTCTGAGTCGTCGTTGCCGGAGAAACCTGTTAATGTTTCCGTCGCTCTACGCTGGCCCCACCAGTAGGATGACCAACTCTCCCGTATTTCCCGGGATCTCCCGTATTAGAGCTAATTTTTTTGGATCCTCCCGGCTCCCGTATTGACCTTCTACTTCTCCCGTATATTTCATTAACAATCAAGATCGCAAAATTTAAATTATATATTATTCCCGCCAAATACATTTCGATATAAACTGTCATTATTATCGACAGTTTAGACTTAGAGGTACCCATCGATAAATATCGAAAAATTACCTATAATAATCGATAGAAAGTTTAGCATATACTAATCGATAGCGGAATGTCCGTTTCCGGATTGTAATATTTTCTGTTCTTGGTACTGCCACGGAAAAAATTTTAAACTGTTTGAATCCATCCCTGCAGAAATGTGCTAGAGATGATTTTGTTAATTTCTACTGTTGCTTGCACAAGTACATTTCCAAGAATTTTGAGTTATCAAATGCAAATCCTGTCCATTGTCTTTTGCCATTAAATTTAAACACTGAACTTCCTTTCAGACATTTTCAAACCATTGTAAAAGAATTTAATCTTGATTTTGTAAATGAGGACAGCCTTTATGAAGAGTTTTCTAGTGCAAAAAGTGTTCTGAATGTGGTAAAAACAGGACGTATAGAAGAAAGTTGGGTCAATATTTTCAGTGATTTAAGAAACAAACAAATTGATGTGCCAAACCTTATTAAGATCTTAGGCTTTGTTTTAAGCATCCCAGGCTCAAATGCCCATACTGAAAGAATTTTTTCACTGATGAGCAATAAATGGACTGATCAGAGAAATCAAAGCAGCTTAGAATTAATTAAGTCAGAGCTAATGGTAGCAATTAATTATGACTATAGTTGTAAAGAGTTTTTTAAATTTGCACAAGAAGATAAAAAAAAATTCTTAGTTCTGCAGCATCAGTGGACAAATACATATAGGTTAGGACTAAGAAACATGCAAATTTGTAAAATTTATTCTATATTGTGACCTGTATATTATATACAATGTAAATTAATTGTTTTGTTTAATATTATCCATTCCATGAACGTTTGCTGGACTGACGCCGCGCCGCTAAAAATGCGCAAAATTTGTCGTGACTAAATCTCCCTTAAATTCATGACCGAAAGTTGGTCACCCTACCTACCAGTACGGCTTTCAGGTGTCATTTCACAATATCAAGCCAGCAACAGTTGCTCAGCCACACAACAAATTTCCAGCATTGTATGGAACCCGAAAGTTCACTACCGTGTTCACAAGGGACTCATCACTGGTCTGTCCTGAGCCAGAAAAATCCAATCCACATCCCCTCATCCTGTTTCTTTAAGATATTTTTTAAAATAATTTCTCATCTAAGCCATTTCTTTTTTTCGGGCTTTCCAGACAAAAAACTGTACGCAGCCCTCTTCTCCCCCACGAATGCTACATTCCCTGCTCATCTCATCCTCCTTGACTTGAGTATTCTAATTATATATGGCGAGGAGTATAAGTTACAGAGCTGCTCCTTGTGCAGTTTTCTCCTCTTCTGCTATTTCATCCCTTTCAGATCCAAACATTATCCTCAGCACCCTGTACCGAAACACAGTCTATGTTCTTCCTTTGACGTGAGAGACCAAGTTTCACATTGACCGCGCCATAGCTCAAGCGGTTAGCCGCTGGCTTCCCACCGCGGCGGCCCCGGTTCGATCCCCGGTCTGGTCAAGAGGGATTTGTGGTGGACAAAGTGGCGCTGGGGCAGGTTTCCTCCGAGTACTTCGGTTTCCCCTGCCAATCTTCATTCCACCAATTGCTCCACAATCACCCTCACCTATCATCTGGGTCTGGTACAATAGGCCAGAAGTGGCCGCAGTACAAGGGACTTAGTCCCACCCCACTAGGAATAATAAAGAAAGTTTCACATCCGTACAAAACTACAGAAAATTAGAGTTTTGTAAATTTTAATTTTTATGTGTTTAGACTGCAGGCTTGAACACAGAAAATTCTGAACTCAGTTTTAATTTGTTACTGTCGTTCCCAAATATTTGATCTTCACCAGATTTTCAAAGAAATTTTTAGCTATCTTTAACAACATAGGCGTACTATTTATTTATTTACGGTTCACTTAACGACGCTCACAGTAGCTCAGACCGTTAAGCATAGAAATGGATTATTCGCCTTATGAACAGTGAATTCGCAAGGAAATGGCAGGAAGCCGTCGTATATTAAGTTGGTGTATCATCCTGTAAGTTGTAAGATTTGAGGCTTTCACGGCGGTGACTATGAAGAAAGCAGTCTTCTGGAATGTGGCACCGTGTATATGTTTCGGAGGAACGTATCGCCTCCATCTTCAGGGTGGAAGGAAAAATATAAGAAATCCGCAAGCGAAGAGACCGTGAGAACCGGTAAAAGCACTCTGCTTTTACCGGTTCTTACGGTCTCTTCGCTTGCGGATTTCTTATGTTTCCTTCTACCCTGAAGAAGGAGGCGATAC